CTCAGCTTTTAGAGCTGAGCTGACCTCCCATGGTCTGCAATGTCCCTTTGCTCAGTTGGGCTCAGCTGGCCTACTTGGGTCCCCTCCCAGGGTCTTGCCCTCAGCTAAGGAAGGAATGTCCCAGTGTTGGTGCTGTGCTCAGCAGTGGCCAAAACACTGGGGTGTTCTCAACCCCTTCCAGCTGCCAATGCCAAGCACAGCCCTGGGAGGGCTGCTGTGGGGAACTGAACTGCAGCTCAGCCAGACCCTACACAAATATCTATGGCACATATTCTATAGAATCCATCCTTAGGTGTTGTGTGATAGATCTATAAGATATTACAAATAATAAGTAATAACAAGGCAAGTGTCCTCCTTAAGGAAACCCCCCCCCCAAACTCCTGCCTGTGTTTGTTCCCTGGGGGTCTCTGCAGCAGCAAGCACAGCCCCACACTGACTGCTCTGGGGTGTGCAGGCATTTGTGGTTCTGCCTCTCTGACACACCGCCCAAACCTTGGGATGGATCTGGATGTCACTGGATGTGATATTACATGGGAGCTGTGATGTCATATGATGGATGTGACATCACAGAGGACCCTTGATGTCAGAACAAGGATGTGACATCACAAGGGACATGTGATGTCACAACAAGGATGTGATGTCACAGGAGAGATGTGATGTCACAGGAAGGATGTGATGTCACAAGGGAGCTGTGATGTCATGGGGATGTGTGATGTCATAGAGGAGATGTGATGTCACAGGGATGATGTGATGTCACAGGGGAGGACGTGACATCACAGAGATGATATGATATCACAGGACAGGTGTGATGTCATGATGGATGTGACGTCATAGGGGAGATGTGATGCCACAGGGGAGATGTGATGTCACAGGGGAGATGTAATGTCACGGGGAGAATGTGATGTCAGAGGGGAGGACGTGACATCACAGGGATTATATGATATCAAAGGAGAGATATGATGTCATATGATGGATGCAACATCATAGGGGAAATGTGATGTCACAGGAGAGCTGTGATGTCACAGGAGAGGTGTGATGTCACAGGAAGGATGTGATGTCATGGGGGAGCCGTGATGTCTCAGGGGAGGACATGACATCACAGGGATGATGTGATATCACAGGAAAGGTGTGATGTCATATGATGGTTGTGATGTCATAGGGGAGATGTGATGTCACAGTGGAGGTGTGATGTCACAGGGCAGTTGTGATGTCATGGGGAGGACTTGACGTTACAGGGATGATATGAGATCACAGGAGAGGTGTGATATATGATGGATGTGATGTCATAGGGGAGATGTGATGTCATAAGGGAGCTGTGATGTCAAGGAGAGGGTGTGACAGATCAGCTGCTCACTGGCCTGGGAAGATGTGACTGGAGATCCATCACGGGATAAGCATAAAAGCCCAGGGCCAACTTTCTTAGAGCAGATTCTTCTACAGACTTTGTTGAAGTATGTGGAGCTTCTGCTGTGAAGCAGGGACAGCTCTTGATGGTCACTGCCCAGGGGGTAAAAGAAAGAGAGAGCTCTGCCTTGATTTATTTCTATCAGACACCACCGGGCCCTCCCCACTTCCTGCCGGGATCGGACACCGCCAGCGGCCCCGGCCCTGCTGGGCTCCATCAACCTGAGGAATTGCTCCGAAGGAGGGGTCGGGGCTTCCTCTTGGGCTTCGTCTCCCTGGCGCTGGGGCTTGGCTTCTACCTGCGCCAGAAGGTGAGGGGGGTCCCAGGGGGTGGTGTGTCCCCCCCCAAAAGCGTCTGTGCCCCCCCGGGGATCCCCCACCCCGGTGTCACCCCCTGTTTTCTCCCCACAGAGCTCCTGAGCTGGCAGTGGCCGCAGCCCCTCCCTGGGCCCTCAGGCCCAGTCTGGACCACCCCCTGTTCCCGTGAGGATTTTGGGGGGGTTGTGTGTCCCTCCCTCCCCTGCTGTCACTCTGCCTCCACCCGGCTACTCCCAGTGATCCCAGTAAAACTCCTCAGTTCTCCCCAGTCCCGGTTATTGGGGGGCAGTGGGGGAGGGGCTTGGAGGGTCTCCGTGCAGTGGAGCCGAGTTTGGGGGGGGCAGAACCGGCCCCGGGATGGATCAGGAATGGTGACCCCCTGTGTCCCCCTGTGTCAACCTGCTCTGGGAGGGCTTTGGGAGAGCACCTGCCCCTCAATAAAGCAACCAGCTGACCCCAAAAGGTGCTGGGCTCTTCCCCAAAACCTCCACACAGCCCCTCAAGGAGCCCCAAACACACTCAAAGCCCACCCAGGACCCCACCCAACCCCTTTTCTGGGGGACT